GTGTGTGTGTGTGTGTGTGTGTGTGTGTGTGTGTGTGTGTGTGTGTGTGTGGATGCGTTGGGGGTTCTCGTGGTCGAAAGGCTACTATGTTTGCCTTTCATTCTCATTCAATAGGTCCCGGGTTCGAATCCGTATATCAACGGATAAACTTTCTTCTCTACAAATGTTCTCCTTTCACCTTCTGTCCTGCTCTCTGACGATGTTCTGTAGTCTGCCTTTGTCTCCACTTTCTGCCCCCACCCCGTCACCTCCTTTGCCCCCTCCTATGGGCTCCTGACTCTTTCTGCAGCCTTTCTACTGCTACTCCCTGGCTCCTCCTTACTGCTGTCTTTTTGCCACACCCCTGATCTTAAATTGGTAACCGCCTCATTCCAGAGAGTTATCAGAATCTTGGATGAGATGAGATAAGATAAGATAAGATAATACTTTATTGTCCCCTAGGGAAATTTTTCTTGGCCGTACAGGAGAGTAAAAACACACGCATGTATACATAAACATTAAATGTGAGGCAGCATGATGGAATCAGGCTCTCGTCAATTTTTGGGCATGTCGAGTTATTGGTATCATCTTAAAGCTTGTTCAATGTAGCACTATATTACATTATAATGCTATCTTTTGAATCTTCAATATACATATATTGAATAACGTTTTGGTGGTGGTGGTGTCTGGAGTGTGGACTTTCACTGATTTTTTGCAACCGTGATAGCAGTTTTCCAGGCGGGATATTATTAATTCTGTTCACAGTCTATCTAGTTTCTTTTCATCGTCAAATTATTCGGAATCTGTTTACCGCCGGCGTCTGTATTGAATGAAATGGAAACTTTTCACCGTCACGCGCCAGAGAAGGGAATGCGTGTTGATTTTTGAAAAAAAAATTATTTTTTTTCGAGTATCTCCGCCATTTTGCTGGGATGTTTTATCCCTCGCGGCCTGGGTTGGCCTTGACATGCATGCAGGGTCGAAGTTCAAAGGCCTAAGGAGCTCGCCCCTTGTCTCGACTAAAGCTGACATTCCATTATGCCCGAAAAATCGATGCGAACTTCGGGTGCGAAATTCGCTTGCGAATTATTTATTTCGCATCAACGTTTTTGTATTTGGGTGAATCCATATACCGGAATTTCGCATGGCCGAGTCCGAAATTCGCATGCAAAGATTTTGTTTCGCACGAGGGAGCGAAACTTTTTTCTTCGCATGCGAATTCTTCGTGAAGTGGGCGGGGCTTATTTCCCGCTAAATCTACTTCAAAGGAACGAAGCAGCATAGAACATGATAGAAGCACTAGATAAGTGGGGAAAACGTCGAAATGTTGATTTCCTTGGTTCGAGAGAGAAGTGTTAAAACCAAGACTGAAAAGAAGTGTTTATTTTCAAGGTGGCTGTCATTTGCATGGCAACCCCTTTTTTTTTTTAGTTTGTGGGAAACTTTCGGGAGTCTATGTAATCTACCTATGCTATCATTTATCGTTTAAATCATGTAATAACTAAAAATAGCTTTTCACTTACACCCACCCCCCTCCTTAATTAAATGCACTTGAATATGATTTCAGTCAGATGACGGATGCGAATTTCGCGTATATGGAAGGAGGGCTCTTTTTTCATCGCACCCGAATTTCGTACACGAAATTCGCACCCGAAGTTCGCATCGGTTTTTCGGGCATATGGAATGCCAGCTTAACTGATCTAGTTAATTAAGCTATCTCGATCTCTTCGTCTAGCAGTGTAAGTTGCGACCTTCATTCGTCATGTAGTGTTGTAGTTAAAGCAACATTCGGCATCAGTTACAATGGGGGCGGGGGGGGG